GTAGTAGTAGTAGTAGTAGTAGTAGCAGTAGTAGTAGTAGCAGTAGTAGTAGTAGTAGTAGTAGTAGTAGTAGTAGTAGTAGTAGTAGTAGTAGTAGTAGTAGTAGTAGCAGTAGTAGTAGTAGTAGCAGTAGTAGTAGTAGTAGTAGTAGCAGTAGTAGCAGTAGTAGTAGTAGTAGTAGTAGTAGTAGCAGTAGTAGTAGCAGTAGTAGCAGTAGTAGTAGTAGTAGCAGTAGTAGCAGTAGTAGTAGTAGTAGTAGTAGTAGTAGTAGTAGCAGTAGTAGCAGTAGCAGTAGTAGTAGCAGTAGTAGTAGTAGCAGTAGTAGTAGTAGTAGTAGTAGTAGCAGTAGTAGCAGTAGTAGTAGTAGTAGTAGCAGTAGTAGCAGTAGTAGTAGTAGTAGTAGTAGTAGTAGTAGCAGTAGTAGTAGTAGTAGTAGTAGTAGTAGTAGCAGTAGTAGCAGTAGTAGCAGTAGTAGCAGTAGTAGTAGTAGTAGCAGTAGTAGTAGTAGTAGCAGTAGTAGTAGTAGTAGCAGTAGTAGTAGTAGTAGTAGTAGCAGTAGTAGTAGTAGTAGTAGTAGCAGTAGTAGTAGTAGTAGTAGTAGCAGTAGTAGCAGTAGCAGTAGTAGTAGTAGTAGTAGTAGTAGTAGCAGTAGTAGTAGTAGCAGTAGTAGTAGTAGTAGCGTAGTAGTAGTAGTAGTAGCAGTAGTAGTAGTAGCAGTAGTAGTAGTAGTAGTAGCAGTAGTAGCAGTAGTAGCAGTAGTAGTAGCAGTAGTAGCAGTAGTAGCAGTAGTAGTAGTAGCAGTAGTAGTAGCAGTAGTAGCAGTAGTAGTAGTAGTAGTAGTAGTAGCAGTAGTAGCAGTAGTAGCAGTAGTAGTAGTAGTAGTAGTAGTAGCAGTAGTAGCAGTAGTAGTAGTAGTAGTAGTAGTAGTAGCAGTAGTAGCAGTAGTAGTAGTAGCAGTAGTAGTAGTAGTAGTAGTAGTAGCAGTAGTAGTAGTAGTAGTAGTAGCAGTAGTAGCAGTAGTAGCAGCAGTAGTAGTAGTAGTAGTAGCAGTAGTAGTAGTAGTAGTAGTAGTAGTAGTAGTAGTAGTAGTAGTAGTAGCAGTAACAGATACGGCTTTCAGACGAAGCAATAACATCTCCATGAAGAAAAGTTACGGTGCAGCGATACTAGAGCAAAGACTGAAAACAACATTTATTTTCTTAAAACAAAAACAAAACAAAACAAAACTGATCCAAATGTGTTATGGAGCAGTTATTTATCTCTCGAGTTACTACACAACAACTTAGTTTAAATAAAAGTTCAAACATTATGAGACTTTTTGAGCCGAATATGACCAGGAAATTGGGGCTTGGTATCGTTAACAAGTTGGCGATACGACACATATCTCGATACACAGGCCACGATATGATACATTAGCCATGATACGATATATTGGCCACGATACGATACATACCATGATACGATACACAGGCCACGATATGATACATTGGCCATGATACGATATATTGGCCACGATACGATACATACCTCGATACACAGGCCACGATACAATACATACCTCTATACAGTGAGCTTTCGATTCGATACGATATATTTAAAATTTATTCTATACAGTTCAATAAAAAATAATGGCAAAGTCATTGTTATGATGCTAAAAGTCTTTTAAAAGTTAAAGTCTTGTGCAAAGTTGATATAAAAAACAAACATTTTAATCATCAAAACAGTGAAAATGTCAAACGTGTCACATAAACGAGTTTCCATCCTCTAAAGAATCAACAAAACTGTAGCACTGTTACAAAATAATTTAGTAAAATACAGCAAAAAATACTCTTGGTGACATATCGATACATTAAACAATACGATAATCGATATTTCAGTATTTTTGCACACCCGTACAAGAAATAGTCTTATTTAATTTATATATCAACCGATATTTAGAAGCCGATATCTGATCCAGCAAATGTTTCAGTATCTTCAGTATCGTTGCAGATATCAGATACTAGGGATGGGACAACATCTCGTGCCACAAAATCTTGCAAAACAAAATGTAGATTTTTTTATTCCTGAATTTACTTTTGGCTTGAGCAAAAAAAAAAAAAAGAGTTAAGAGCTGGTGAGTTACACAATTTGGAAGCTGTAATTTTAAGAAGCAGTTCTACAATGACAGCTAAAGTAGTACATAAAATAAATAAAAATGGTGAAGCCAAAATTGTAAAATGGACTGCACTACTTATTAGGCAGAGAAATTTGGCGTTTCGTTACTGCGGCCAAGATAATTACGATTAACGATAATACCACGATAACTATTAAATCTGCTGAAGACTGATGAATTAAAAATATTATGGATATGAATAATTTGAATAGGTTCCATATTTAAACAACTTTTATAAAATTGTACTTTTTTATTTATAGTCTGTGATATAATAATCTTAGTCAACTAGACAGACATCAACACAACAAATTAAACAATAAACACAAATAAAAACAATAATATTCAACTAAAATTACAACCAAAGATTAAACCACACTGTACTTTGTTATAAGTTGGAATATAACAAAATCATAATCCCTCGATACGATATTTTCACGATACGCATCTCACGGTTCGATATTTATTGCGATATTTAGTGCAGGCTTTAAAAAAAATTGTGAAAACGCCACTTTTTACTTTTTAAAATGCCTCGGAAAAGCCTTGAAAAACCTTTAGTACTGTTAAAATATGAAGAATTAAGATTTGAAAGTGCTTGATTACAGTTATCTCTTCACGTAGCAGCAGCAAAGGATCATGGTCTATGTAGTTCCTTGTGTTTTTTAGTAATTCAAAGTGGTTTACAGAATAAGAAAGACATTAAAACCACAAATAAAGACATAAAAACTATTAATTTAAGCAAAAAGGACTTGTAATTTGATATATTGTGATGACCCGCGATATTACTGTGAGACATTTGACGATACGATATCACGATATTAAGGTTATAGTCGCATTCCTAGTTGTAAGCGAAAACAACAGTGATCTAGAAGAGTCGTTTAAATGTTATTGGCCTATAAAATGTTGAAACCCAGCAGTTGGATCGGTGCATCTCTATTATATCCACCGGCACCGACCACGTCCCGCCGAATCGGAGCATTCACCCCCCCCCCTGGCCCCTCTCCAGATCGGCCGGGCTCACTCCGCTCAGGCCCCTATCAGCGGAGGATACTTGTGCCGTTAATTGCGTTTAGCCAAGTGCCAAGGTCGAGAGGGCCAAGATTGGGGATGAAAACTTTCCTGGATGTGATGGGACCCACTGCTGCTCAGTAAGTAAAAGCACCGGGCACAAGCCAAGCTGCACCAAGTAAATATATAATTAACCACCCCCAAAAGAATCACAGTGACTAAGACATTAATAAGAAGTGTGGTTTGAATATTAGAAAATGGATCTGTATGTGTGATTCACCAAAAGAAAGACTTGGTTTTCACGTTTGCCCGTATTAGGCTTATCAAAAGTATCAAAAATCAGATGGACCACTATGTAAACTATACCTGGATCACTGAGGGATTACATTAACATAAAAAAGTACTATGATTTAATCTTGAAAATCACATTCTATTGTCTAAATAAATAGTATCGGGATCGAGTATCGGGTCTATTCGAAACACAAGCCCATATCATATTTGCATTTGCCAGAATCTGAACTGTAAGTGAACAAAATTGGGAACTCGCTTTGGCAATATGGTGCAACATAAAGCAATGACTAATAAAAATGTAAAATATAAACTATGATCAAATACGCTGAGCTGAAATAAATAAAATTGGATAAATGCTTGCATAAAAATAAGCGAAACGGGGAGAACAATATTCCTACTACAGATCAATTTTAAGTTTATTTTATTTAGTAGTAAGCTATACTCAAGTCTATGTTAGGTAGACTACAGTAAAAATTATATTAATTATATTAGAATGTGTTTTTTTCCCCAAGATGTTTCTTTTCTTAAAGCTGTGCTGAAGCTGATCTTGTACTGCTGGTTTCAGTTTTTCTTATCCCAGTATTTTCACCAGAGTTACGTTCTACAATGACAAAATGCCCCTGTACAAAATGTGCTTGGGAGAATTAATCTGCATACCTGAAAAGCACCACAGACACTTTCAAAGCGCTTAGTTGGCAGAAAAAAAATTTAAATGTAAAAAAATAAAATAAAATCGTCCAAAAAGTGAGCTACTGAAGCAAGGTAGAATTTCTGATGCAAATTAAACACTGCAGATTTATGATAAAATATTAGAATGCATAATTTATCATAGTTTCTCAAGTAAAAAAAATCCACTTTGCGCAAATTAAATCGCCTCAAGCTTACCTTTCCGACGATGTCTCCTCACACCAAGTTCATACTCGTGGTTAAAAGACGTCTTCTGGTGTCAAAGGCCAGCGAATGCGTGGGTAAAACAGTATAAATCGGGTTATAATTGCTTTAAAAGTCCGTTTTTATGAGTAAGAGTAAAGTCCCGAGGATCCGTGGCCGCGTAGAGTCCAACTTGAGCCGTGAGAGCATCGCCTCTGAGCTGGAGCTGCTCCGCTGCAGCGTCTCTTCAGCCTCAGCCAAAGAGTCACAACACAACAAGAGGAGAAATGTCACCCACTGCTGCGTCGCTTTCAATACGTTTATACGATTTTATATTTATTTCTTATTTTTTATTTTTTATGCTTAGTTTAGTTAAGAGGCATGTTTATAAGGCTTTGGTATTTATTTTTTATTTTTGTATTTGGTAAATGTATTAATTTTTTTTTCCATTATTGCCAAAGAATAAGAAAAATCAAGAGAACTCAAAACGCAACATCAACCACAAAAGGAGTCAAAAAACTGTATCACTAATCAAATTAAAGCAATATAGTGTAGTGTTTTCCATGTAACAAATTTTATAATTCATGTGTACGCAATTAAAAGTGCTTTTTTCCCTTGTTTATAGTGATTTTTAATTAACTTCTGAGAGCGATGTCACGTCATCTCCGCACTTCCCGAAAGTTGTTTAGGTTAGCTAGTAGTGCGAAATGGTAGCAGCATGTTCCCGCGTTATGTTAAATCTACGGTGTTTTGTTGCTTTGTGTCAAACTGAAACATGATAAAAACGGAGAGGGTTCTGCATTTGAAGAGCAGCCGCGGGAGGAAGGTCCGTGTGGTCCGGGAGCATTATTTGAGGGAGCGGGTTCCGTGCTACAGCTCCCTGTGTCAGGCGGACTGTGACAACGGTAAAGAGCAAAACACTGCAGACAGCACCGACACATGTGGAATTATGGGAAGAAACGGGAATAAATATGACTGAAAAGAAAAGTGATGAGCTAACTGCAGACTTTGATTTAATCATTACGAAGTTTTTTTAGTTTGCAAAAGGATGGAAAGCTAACTTGCTATATTTTTGTTTCTTGATCTGGGTAAAGGTGACCAGATGTCCCTCACTGTTTAACCAGGACACTCCCAGTTTTGAGTCCTGTATCCCCTGTCCCAGCAGATTTATCCAAAACCAGTGATTTGTCCCAGTTTTATACAACAAATGTCCCAGGTAGAGATGGGTATCATTCAGTAGTTGCCGAAACGATACATACCTCGATACATAAGCCACGATACGGTGTATATCTCGATACAGTGAGCTTACGATTCGATAGGATTCAATACGATATACTTCAGATCGATTCGATAAAGTTCAATAAAAAATAAAGGCTAAATCGTGGCTGTGGTACTAAAAGTCTTTGTTAAACCACTTCTTGTGCAAAGTGAATATGAAACCAACCATTAATATGAAACCACACCCATTTTACTCATCAAAACAGTGAAAATGTTAAATGTATGTATGCATAAACGAGTCTCCTTCTGCACAAGCAGCAAAACTGTAGTGCTGTAACAAAATAATTGAGTAAAATATACCTAAAAATACTCTTGGCGATATATTGTTTGCCAGGCTGGCCTCTGCTCAGTTTCATTTCTCTCCAGCGACTAGGGAAGGAATCAAAATACAATAGACGGTTCGCAAAAAGGATTTAAAGTCGGAACAAAGAGAATGTTTGGTGAATTTTATCAAGGGGAAAGACGTTATTGTCCTTCTTCCTGTGGGATTTGTGAAAAGCTTAATATACTAGTTAGTCCGTTACCAGCGCATTATATACGTCACGAGTCACGACCAAATAGCAGCAGTTGGATAAATGATAAAAAGTACCCGCCTACCATCGAGCGAACAAAATCTAATGCTGTGAGGTCAGACGGTTTGTACGAAGTGAAACCGGCTGATGAATCAGGCTAACAAAACCGTAGCGTTGTAACAAAATAATTTAGTAAAATATACCAAAAATTACTCTTGTCGATATATTGATACAGCAGCCCTCGATATCAATAGTGTATCATCACATTAAACGATCGATATTTCAATATTTTTGTACACCCATAGTCCCAGGTGTCCCTATTTTTGACCAATTTGATCCCTGCCAACTGTAAAGAGAGACATACATTGTAATTTGTTTAGGTAAAATACAAAAAAGCTGCTTAAAAATGACTAAAACACAAAGAAAATATCACTATACTGACTCACTGTTAGTCATGAATGAGCTGAGCGCAGAACTGTTTTCCTTAATTACACATTCTCGTTTCACAATTTTATTATTACCAACCACCACCAAAAAAAGAGGGAATGTCCCAGTTGAAAAAGCTTGTGGTATAATAATGATAATCAACTTGGGGCTACAGATGTGGGAATCAAATAATCAAAATCATGTACATTTTAGTAGTAATTTAACTTAATTTCTATAAAGATGATATTGTATGGATATAATATTTTATGATTGCTCAGTTAATTATCTAGACCTTCCCATGTGGGCATTGGGAGCACCTCAATGTAACTACAAATCAAAAACTGGTGTGTTTGGTAATAATAAAAGGAAAGGAGAATTGTTATGCACTCGTTTCATTCATGACTAACATGTGAGTCATTATAGTCACATTTTCTTTGTGCTCATTTTTAAGCATCTTTTCTGTATTTTACCTAAACAAATGACAATGTATACCTCTCTTTACTGTCGGCAGGTATCAGATTGGTCAAAAATAGAGACACCTGGGACATTTCTTGTATGAAACCTTAACAAATCACTGGTTTTGGATAAGTCCGCTGGGACAGGGGAAACAGGGCTCAAAACTGGGACTGTCCCGGGTAAATATTGACGTCTGGTCACCCTACTACAGCCACAAAGTTGTAAAATTTTTCTGTAGAAGATTCTGTAGAAGATTGTAGAAGGATTCCTCTTCCAAATAAGGGTGGCACAGGGGTTAGCACTCACGCCTCGCAGCAAAAATGTTTCTGGGTTTGATTCCTGGGTCGTCTGGGCCTTTCTGTGTAGAGTTTGCATATTTCTCTGGGCATTCTGTTTTCGTCCATCAACTCTCATGCACCATAGGTAGAGCTGAGGTTGTCCTGACCAAGAGTAGCTCAAGATCGCAGAGATGGGTCCCTGAGTTGCATCCACTGGTCCTGGCAGTTTGCTCAGCGGCATTGAAGGATGGGTCAAATGCAGAGGACAAATATGGGGACAACATAGTGTATTTTAACCTAAAGTAGAAAGTACAAACAAAGTACAACTACTCTTTATTTCAGATTGTGTCATAGTTAGATCACTGTTTGATTTTGTTTTGTCATTTGCTCGCACTGCTGTAAGGACAATGTGGACAGGATTAATTCACTGGTTATGAACAAACCTAAAATGATGTTCCTCCTCTTTCTCTTTCAGAGGGTAAGGTGCTTCCTGGAGATCTGACCCATTACGTGATTCCTGATGTCGGGATCGTCCTGGACTTTCTGGAGATCCTGGAATTCAGAGAAATCCAGGGAATCATCTTCACACAGACGGCGTGTCAGGCTGTGCAGCACAACAAAGGAAGAAGGTAAGAGATATTAAAGAAGTATGCAAAATCGACTTTTAAGAGCTTTTGATCATTGTTATAGTTGTTTTCTCTCACCATTTACCCTCTCAAAGTTGTTTTTGGAGTCATTCATGCATTTTTGAGTGAACTTTATTATATTCAAGACATCAGCGCACAACCACTGCAGTTTTCCAGTTCAGAAGTCGGCGGGCTTGTTTTGCTTATGAAGTCGTTTTAGATCAATATTGAGATTTTAAAATTCACGAAACATAACATAATGATCCACAGGTGTCATAGATTATAACTATATAACAAACACAAACACAATAGGTCTGTTTTAAGGCTGTCCACTGTATGACAAAGCTACTGAGACTGCATTTGTAAAGTTTTAATTCTATATTTTGATTTTTCCATTGTCCAGGCAGTACAACCGTCTGCGTAACCTGCTGAAAGACCCTCGTCACGACTGTGTGCTGTTTGCCAATGAGTTCCAGGAGTATTCGTACTGCCCCCGAGAGAAAGGAGAGAGCCAGGAGAAATGGCAAACCAGGTCTGGGTTTGGTGGTCCTTCATTTTATTACATTATTGTGTTACATAGAATTTGATTTGAACAAACTATAAGCTGTATAAGATGACTTCAATGTGTAAAAATAATCAGATTATAACGATTTATATTAGAAATTGTTAAATTGTAAAGTTGGTTAGAGATTGAGAACTTGCAGGCACCACGCAAAACATTTACAACTTGACATTTAAAGGTGTATTTGCACGACTTTGTCTCCATGGAGATATTATTGTTTTGTTTGGAATGTTCCACGGTATGGCATTAAACATCTGTCTAGCATTTCATTCATTACGTGTGTTTCTATTGCTCAAAAATACAATAAATCCTTCTGTGTATAGAGTCGACTCTCCACAGATCTGACCTGTAATGTTGCGTAGTGCTGTTACCTGCTCGTCTCCTTCGTGACAGACAGGTTTAATCTGTACTGTGTAACATTCTAGACAAAGCAGTAACATTTCCATGGAGACAAAGATGTGATGGACCCTCCACTAGAAATGTTACGCAGTGCAGTTGTATTATGTAACTTTTCTTTCCAGGATGATTAGGTGTGTGTAAAAATATCGAAATATTAGGGATGTAATGATATCCAAATCTCCGGTATGATATTATCACGATATGCATCTCACGGTACGATATTTATTAAAATATTTTGGAGAGGACACTTTTTTGCTTTTAAAATACCTTAAGAAGATTTTGGTGTGAATCATTTTCGCCATAATACCAAGAATTCAAGTAAAAACACATCTCTTCGTGTCGTTTGCACTGAAATGGATCATGGGATATGTAGTTCCCGATGTTTATAAGCTGTTGCTAATATAAAACAATGCAGTTAAGCAAAGGAACTTGTAATTCGATATATTGTCAGACTTTTGACTATACAATAGCACGATATTTCAGTTATTGTTACATCCCTATGAAATATCGTATAATTTAAGGTGATGATACAGTATCGATATCGTGGGTTGCTGTATCAGTATATCGCCAAGAGCATTTTTTGGTTTATTTTACTGAATTATTTTGTTACAGTGCTACAGTTTTGTTGCTTGTTTAGAGGAAGGAAACTCATTTTTGCGACACATTTGACATTTTCACTGTTTTGAGGTTTTAAGTGTTTGTGTTTTACCGTATTTTCTGGGCTATAGGGCGCGCTCTTAAGCCTCCAACCCCATAAAAATGCGCCCCGCAATCCAGAGCGCCCTATACACGAATCCACTCGAGTGTCCCAGCACGACTTCAATAAACTACAAAGCCGCACCACCCAGAGTGCACGCAAACACGCGCAGACAGTATGAACGTAAATCTGTTGCAAAATGAGAGAGTGTGTACACTTGATTTGAGATGTGTAATGTGTAGAACAAAACTTTGAACTTGTAATTGCCTATTTTCATATACGTGTGTGTTGAATTTGCAGTCACGGTGAAAAAAAACACACGAGTGCTTGAAAAAAATGTATGCACTTGGAGATTGAAATTTTCACTTGTGGAAAATATTCACGCACACGGGAGAAAAAATATTAACAAATATATAGAACAAAACTAAAACAAAACAAATTTTTTTTCAAGCACTCTTATGTTTTTTTTTCATCATGACTGCAAATTCAACACACACATATATGAAAATAGGCAATTACAAGTTCAAAGTTTTGTTCTAAACATTCTCACATTATATTCTACAAGTTCTCAAATCAAGTGTACACGCTCTCTCATTTTGCAACAGATTTACCTTCATAGACAGCGACCATGCAGCGAAACACACCCACAGTCACACTCATCACTCCACGCCGATGAGGAACGGAACGGAGGAACGAACCGAAAAAGCGAGTGCAATGTGCCGCTTCTAGACACAACTGAACAACTGAGTCACTGCGAACACGCCGACAATCCAGCGGTCCCAGACAGCACCCTCCCTACACGCCACAACTGAACAAAGCCCAGAGTCACCGTGAACGCCACAAACAAACAAAACCACTCACCCATCCAACTGTTGTGTTTCCTTTAAAGTCCGGTGCGGTTTATTTGTGAAAAAAGTTCGAAAATAGACCATTTAATGACAGTGCGCCTTATAATCCAGAGCGCCCTATAGTGCAGAAAATACGGTATATGAACTTTGCACAAGAAGTGGTTTAACAAAGACTTTTAGTACCACAGACATGATTTTGCCATTATGTTTTATTGAACCATATCGAATTGATTTGAAATATATTGTAATGAATCGAAAGTTCACTGTATCGAGATATGTATCGTATCGTGGCTTATGTAACGTGTTGGCAACTTCTTAATAATACCCAGCCCTAATGGTGACTGTATTATTTTGCTTAGAACATATCCATCTTACTTATTTACTATTTACTATCTTCCTGTCTCTCTGTTGGCACATCAGGCAGAGCGCGTCCTTCTCCAACGGACCCTGTCCTTGGCTCTGATCTCCAGCTGTTTGTTTTCCCGCAGGCCTGTGTGTCCTGCCTCCCTGTTCTCTTTAGAGTTTCTTTGGGCCTTTCTTTCCGTCTTCCATTTGTCAGTGACCATCTCCAGAGCTGTAGGGGTCTCCTGTGGTTCTGCATCCTCATTACCTGTCCCCAATATGACCATCTTCTTTCACGATTTCGAGGATGCGTTTCATTTTGGGCTCTTTTAAGCAGTTGTTCTACTTGATTTTCACGACGAAATTTTCTCTGAAAGCTAGACAGGTGTTTTTCTAAGTCTTTTGCCATCTTCCATGTTTCAGAGGTATATAAAAGTGAAGTTACAGTGACCAGATGCCCCTATTTACCTAGAACAGTCTGAGTTTTGAGGCCTGTGTCCCCTGTCCCAGCAGATTTATCCAAAACCACAGATTTGTCCTAACCTGATTCATCAGCCGGTTTTACTTTGTAGAAACCGTCTGACCTCACAGTGTTAGAATTCGTTCGCTCGATGGTAGGTGGGTACTTTTTTATTTAACCAAGTCGCTGCTATTTGGTCATGACGTTTTTCCCAAATCCCGTAGGAAGAAGGGCAATAACGTCTTTCCCCTTGATGAAATTCACTGAACATTCTCTTTGTTCCGGCTTTAAATCCTCAATCTTAGGAATCATTGACAGCACTGAATATATGACCCTTCACTGATTGGCTGCCCGAACTTGCACTTCCGGGAATTTTTGCGAAACGTTTAGTGTATTTTGATTTCTGACCTAGTCACTGGAAATTTAGCGGAGGCATTAGGTGGCGCTACTCTAGCTAGATTTGTCCCAGTTTTACACAAGAAATGTCCCAGGTGTCCCTATTTTGACCACTTTGATACCCACCAACAGTAAAGATGGGCATATATGATGGATGATGATGATATATTGTCATTTATTTAGCTAAAATACAGAAAACTGAGCTTGAAAATGACCAGAACAAGTCACAAGTCCCTCAGATTATGATTGACCCACAAAGTAAGTTAAGAATGGACACCCTCTTTTCACAGTTTTATTTATACCAACTCATCCCAACTCGGGTGTGTCCCAGTTTTGAATTTTGAAAATCTGGAAATATCTTAACATAAACCTCAAAAAACATGCACTCTTAGGTTATGGACTGTTAAAATGCAGTCATCTCTAAAATATAAAGCCATGTTGTGTTTGTGACGTTGTTCCTCTGTGTCGTAGATGCGTGTACTCCGCCGCAGTCTGGTATTACAATCACCTGGCCGGGCTTAAGGACGTGGTGATGGTCACGGACGACTCGGAGGCTGTGGAGCAGTACAAAAGCCTCAACTCTGGGGTCTACGTCATCTCAATGCAGGTAACTACAAGACAAACTGAAAATAATAACCTCTGTGAAGTAAATGTATTGATACTTCGCAACATTCCCTGGGAGTGTGACGCTGTCTGTAGGCACTGTTCCATCAGAGACTTGTTAGACTTTAATCTGATCTTTATTTTAATGCAATCTGACCATAAAGAAACTGACTTAATTGAAAATAAAATAGGTGAGCTGATTTTGAACTGTTAAACAAGTCCCTCTCAAACATTATAGTCACAAGATCAGTGTTGCCAGTGTTGAGGAAAACAACCTTTTCCTCTCATGTTCTTTAGTTTCTGCTTAGATAAAAATTACACTTGAAACAGAAATAAAGTCCAAAAATAATTGACTTACTCCAATATTAGAAAGTCATACTTGTACAAGGAGTCTGTGCTGACATTCCCATGCAGAGACTCAAATGTTTTACGCCTGTACAATGACTTTTATACACAAACTATAGGCGAGTTTCAGCTGACGTCATTGTTATTAAAAGCCCGCGTTGCATGCTGGGAAATATTTTGGTCGGAGGCAAGAAACACGGTAGCGTCAAACACAGTGCGTAACCTCGCGTATTTATCCCCGATAATGGTAAATTCCTGCTGCATTATCAGATGCACAAATAGAAACACGGAAGAAGGAAAATGTCTTTTTCGTATTCTGAGTGAAAAGAACCGCTAACGGTGAATTAAACGGCTTTCAAACATTTGCAGAGCAAACGTAGAAGATCCTAACAAACCGTGGACTCCAACAAGTTCAACAACACATCGAGACTCTTGGAGGTTTTCATCTTTTCTGCTGTGAATGGCCCAGGAGTTTCCACCAAGTCATTGTGGATATCGCCAAAGTGAATATTTAGCCAGGTAGTTGGCGATTCTGACCAGAAATTTGGTTTGGTCCACCTTTTGTCGGGGTTGAAAAGGGTGATTTGGCGTCTATCGATGCTTATGACCAATTTCTGGTCAAATGGTCTTGGGTGCTCTGCCGTTAGAGTGGATAAATAACCGGGATCAATGCCCTTTACGTGCTTTCTCGCTCCGTCCGTCATGTTGAATTAGTGTTTCTTGCCGCCGACCAAAATAATTCCCAGCATGCAACGCGCGCTTTTGTCAACAATGAAACTCGCCTATAGTGGGAGGCTACTGCGGTTTAGACTTAGCGCCTCTTCGTTGGTGCACGGACCAGCCAGACCTTTTGGCACTTTGCACAGCCCAGTCAGACTCCATCCGGGGAATTATCTGGCTAACAAGTCATGACATCATCCCTATCAGTAGTTGTTGTCCTATTTAGTTAGTTTGCTGTTAGATAGATTGGAATATCCTGCATTTGTCTTGTATATCTATGAGTCTCACAGCTGTGATCAGAGCCCTTATCTTCAAACGACTTCAGTACAATAATTTATCCTAACACCAGATTGGGCGACTTTCGACAAGTTTGGGCTTTTTTTTGTTTGTTTTCACACCAGTCAACGTGATACACAGTAACGCAAGGAACAGGGACTTTCACTCCCGTCCAGTCTTATAGAAGTGCACTCCGGCCTGTGCACAAACGAATGGATGTCCGCTATGCTCAGACCTCCCTGACAGCTGTTGCAGAAATTCAGTTCTTTGACGTATGAGTAGGTAGGCTATCTGTTTGCCTGCTGTTTTTGCAGTAGCCTAGACCAGGCATGTCAAACTCAGGCCCGGGGACCAAATTTGGCCTGCGATATAATTATACTTGGCCGGCGAGATCATATCAAACATGTTTTAGAGCTGCCCGCCAGCTACAGATCAACTATAGAGACATTATTTATTTAAAATTTTGCTATTATTTTATATTTTGCTTGTTCTAGAGTCAGTGTTTAAGCAAAACTATTATTAAACATTTATTTTAGTAACAAAAGGTTTAACATTACATATCTCGAAAGGAGAGAAAATGTTCAGTAAATATTTAGTTTGGCCCACAGCTTATTCCCAATTTTTAAATTTTGGCCCTCTGTGAATTTGAGTTTGACACCCCTGGCCTAGACTATAGCCAACTATTGATTTTATTAATTTTTATGCATGATGAAAATGCTGTTCTACATTTTACCAAAGGTTTTACAGAACATGTTTCCTCAATCCTGGCAGCGTTTTTAAAAAGACTACAGATTAAATAACCTACAACTTTTTTATTAAAATATCAAATTTCCTTTTTTCTATGATAAATGAAAATGCTTTTCTACATTTAACATGTTTTCTCAATACTGGTAACGTTTTTAAAATTCCCAACAATAGATTACATACTGTACGTTGTTGAGCATTTTTTTTGCTGTGAAGAGGTCGGGTTTTCGAAAGTGATTGGACGGAAATCACTAAACCCAATCTGACAACACTGCACGAGATAACTAGCATTACAGTTTTTCACTCAATCTCACACTTATTGTTGAAAATCAAACTCTTAAACAGGACCCTGAATGCCTCTAATGATCACCCGCTCCTGAAAATGTCTTTTATGAACCCATTTTGTATTGTTTCTTGAGTATTCAGACAATCTAAACACTTCTTTTTGGGCAGTGTTTACTAATTTGTGCATTCTGTCTCCATGGTAACTGCTGGACATTCCATCAGATATACATAAGTGTAAACCCCCCAGTGCGATGTCACTGCAAAATATAGTTAAGATTCTTCAGAGTTTCTCATATATTCAGCTAAGACTATATGGGGACATAGGTAATCTTTATTTTAAGACATTAATTATTACAATTAGTTTGAGTAAAACTGTGATGTAGTGCCTCTCTTTAATATTTAAATGGTTCTTTAGATGGTTCAGTTAATTGTATGTGAAATTGTTAAACAAGCAAAAAGGATCATTTGTAATACCGGTCTATTGTTTGGCTTGTTTTTAGACTGTGAGGGAGAAAATTAGATCAGTCTCCTCCTCTATTAATGGAAAACACTGAATGCTTAACAGGCCTCTTAAACTGCCACACTGTAGTCATTATTCTTTCACTAAACTCCGGTGTAGAGCCGAACAAATTTGGAAAAAATATTGAACTGAAGCGCGCTTTTCATACACAATCTGAAGCGTTAAAGGTGCATTGTGTAACTTTTCTGGTGGAGGGTCCGTCACGTGCTTTTGAGATGCTATTGCTTTGTCTGGAATGTTCCACAGTATGGCATTAAACCTTTCTATCTTCATGGAGACCAAACCAAACAAAGTTACAGGTCAGGTCTGTGGAGAGGCGACCCCGCTCACAGTCAGAATGTCTGTTTTTCTGGGTATTTTTGAGCTCTAAAACCACCTAGAATTGAATAAATGTAAAGTAGAGCTGTTTAATGTCATACTGTGGAACATTCCAGGTAGAGTAATGATGTATCCATAGAAAAGTTACACAATACGCCTGTAACATTTGAGAGAAGACTGAAATACGAACTTCTAAAACTAAAACTAAAAACTCTAAAACTACTGCACATCACACCAGGTTTGTGAAGTTGTAGTGTACAGTTTTGTGTTTTTCAAGCTTTTTTTATATTTAAGAAGACATATTGTGCTTGAGTCTGCTATATTGTTATAATTTACAACACTAGTGGATTATTATGTTATTGCAATATTCATCTAAAATTAAGAAACAAGTCAGCTGATTTTCACGTTAGAAAACGTCACCATAAACGTCATCACAACAAAAAGACGACCCCTCCGATGGATAGCTGCATCCAGTCGAATTGAGAATGCCAGAACTGATGGTTAAATGACTTTTAATCTTTTGCTTGCCGTGTCATAGAACCAATGTAGGAGTTAGACAAGAACAAAATAACAGATATGATGACCATGTGATCGCCGTATCACTAGCTCATTACATTTTAACATTAATTCAATACGAATTACAAAAAGCTCAAATACACAATCACAAATAAAACAAAACTTGTTGCCCTGTCGACTGTTTTTATATTTACGTTTTTTATATAACTTTTAACCATTGTTTTTGTTTTTCACCGTTAAAGTTGCGGTGTTTACTTTGCGTCTTTTCTGTATACCAAGCAACATTTTTACCTTAACTTCCGCTCACACAGGAAGTCACCAAAATAAAAGCGTAACCTTACTATTAAATGCCATGGACTGTATGTTAACGTATATAAGAGCAAACTTGACCTTTGCACCAACCAACTATGAAAATAAGGGCCTGGAGCTTAAAAACGCAAAAATCTAAAACCACTCTCCAGAGTAAAAAAGCTGAATACGCTTCCGCCGTAACTTTTCCGTCTACACTGCCCAAGATGCAAAACTCTGGTCAGATCTGCTCACGTCACGTATGCGTTTACGTCACATACATCATCACCTAGCACAGGGGTGTCAAACTCAAATTCACAGAGGCCAAAATTAAAAACTGGAACAAAGTCGTGGGCCAAACTAAATATTTATTGAAAAACATCTACATGTTTTCTCTTTTTTCGAGATACATAATGTTAAACCTTTTCTTTTCTTATTAAAATAAATGTTTAATAATAGTTTTGCTTAAACATTGAATCCAGACCCAGCATAATATAAAATAATAACATTTTAAATAAATAATGTCTCTATAGTCTGTCTGTAGCTTTAATATATATTTGATATGATCTCGCGGGCCAAATATAATTATATTGTGGACCAAATTTTGCACCCGGGCCTGAGTTTGACATGTCTGACCTAGCATCACCGAGCCGCCTGGCATGCATACTCAATCGAATTCCACAAACTTTTGCGTCATCGTATGCACGCTCGTTTAAATGCGGACTAAAACTATCATCATATAAACGTAGCTTAAAACTGTAGAACGAAGTTAGTTCAGAGCAGCGGTGGTGGTGAACGCGAAAAACAAAGTGAACGAAAGTAAGTGATTAAAGATTACTCAAACGTGCACGATCACTCACATCACTCCAGATACAACTTCAAGAGGGTAAATGAGAACGAAAAACAACTATAATATGGTTAAAGGCTCTAAAACGTCGATTCTGCGTAATAAGTGCTTTAATGAAAAATTGCTGTGTGAACCTGGATAAATG